CCTAATCATTTGTAAATGTGATCATGGAGAGCAAAGGAATTAAGCGAAAGGCATACTTAGTGACTGAAAAGCTGTTCATCATAGATAGTGTTCATAATGACGAAGCGAGATCAAAAATTTGCAATGAACTAAAAATTGCTGAGTCGACATTTAGAGGTTGGCTTAAGGATGAGCTGAAACTTCGAAATTACTCACATGATGTTGATTCAGATGAAGGAATGAAACAAAAACGAGCACGGACTGCAAGCGATAATGAATTAGATGATGCTGTGTATGCATGGTTCACACAACAACGTGTCACAAACCGCAAGTGTTATCGTGTTCTAATTTACGTTGTTTTAAATTTTTAGACCCATTAATTTCATGTTGGTAATGGTTAACCCTTGTGAATTTTTTTTTTCTTCCATTTTATGCCAACTGCAATAAATATGTACACATCGTTTGATCGACATTGTTTTTTTCGAAATATGTCGATCTTTCGTATTAAAAAAAACCAAAAAACATCTACTTTGGATTAAACAAAAAAACTAGAATGTATACCATTCACAGGAAAAATTAGTGACATAGTACACAACGTGAAGTCGTACACGTGCTAAGCGAATGGAAACCACGTGGAATAATGTTCAATATACTGCAAGTTATCCTGAAATTAATGTTACTGTGATGAAAAAATTAAACAAAGTACACCGATATGAAGAGATATTTATTCACTGTTAATCTTAACACGATTATTAATTGAGTATTCAACACTGTAACATGCCAAGCTACCCCACCCACCTTTTGCCTATACGTCGATTCCTTTGTTAGTTTTGTTGTTTGTTGACCTTTAGGTCCCTCAATAACTTGCGCCCTCGCTTATATCGTGGTCGATGTTTTTGGACCCCGATGTGCGCGAGTTATCAAGGAAGTGGTGTAGCTTGGATCTACTCACTACTACTTCATAAGTGAACCTTCAAACTATACAGGTGGTACACACTTCAGGTGGTACACACTTCAGGATCATGGCAGTCATGAATGTTCTTGTGGGAAATGTTTCACACTTTTTCAGAAGTATGTATGCCTGGATGCAGATCATATTAATAAACTGCAATGTGAAACTGTCAGTTATTGTCCTTGGTGGAGAGACTCTTGAAAATTGATATTTGTAGCTAGCAGTGAATACAAAATACCAATGAAAGAGACAACTGATAGCATCAGTTTTATAAGAAATCATTTACATTCATAACATGTTATCATGAGAACATGTTTATCTCATGATAACATGTTTCTCATGATAACATTAATGTTGTTCTGATGTTTCAGCTGCCGCAGTCCTGACACACTTGCAAGCATCCACAAAGACCAACTCCACATCCTAAGCATGATTGAGGTCCTGAGCTTCTTTTTTAATGATCGCTGGAAACAGTATTCGCCTCTGCTTTATTATGACATCTGGTACTGCACTATCTGTTCAGATGCCCAACAAAGGGAAAAATAAAATTCAAACAGAAAATATGCTCAGACTTTTCATATTGCCTGTGACTTGGTGTCGATACTGGAAAAAGTGGAGGGGTCTCATCTTGATCCTGATCAATCTTTCATGAAGGTGGAGCAGCAACATGTGCCATGCATGATTGGATACTAAACATCCTGTGGTGCTGATAAACATTTGTCATCAACTTATCGATATCACTGAGGAACTGATTGCATCATGTGGTTCTTTGAGCTGCTCATGGCAGAGTAATATCATATAAACATCCGAAAAAATCCAGTGCCAATGATTCCATTGATTCCAGAACAACAACGGCAGCACAAGTTGGTGGTTCATTGTCAGATATGTGAAGATTATTTCAAACCACATGGTATGAAAATTATCGATGCTTGTCACATCACTGGGTGTTATCATGGCACCACTCATGACCAATTAAACTTTCACTTCAAGGATCAAGATGATCATGCATAATCTAATAATTTACCATGGTGGTGTTAAACCATGTGCAGGTCAGAGAACTCCTAAAATCCATTGGAACTAAAATCAAATGCATCCCTAATAATTTTTATAAGTACATGCCATTCTTGGTTGGACAAGGTTGTTCATAGACTGATTCCAGTTTATGTCAGTGCCATTGGATGAAATTGTCATGCCTTGGTTCATCTCGATGAGACCTATTTAGAAAAAAATAAGTTTGCTCAAACAAAAAGGAGATTTCCTTATAAGCACATTGATGACTGGTAATGGTTTGATGAAATTTCTCATCCTCGTAAAGATGTTTTATTCCCACTTGAATCTGTCTAATATCACCAACATGGAACACAACAGAGCTCTTGTGGTGTGGCAAATAGTTTGTTGCCAGACTCTCTGAGATTACCATGATGTGCATCTGAAAATGGATGTGCTGTTACTCGCAGACATGTTTAAAAATTTCAGGGAAACCTGCTGAAAACATTACTGATTATAACCTCTCTGGTACTTCTCCATGCCAGGTTGGCATAGGATACACTGCTAAAAACCAGTGGAGCACAGCTCAAGATATTCACAGACCCAGACATGTTTTTTTTTATCAAACAGATGGTATGAAGGGAAATTTCTATTGTGAGTAAAAAAACTCACAGTGGCCAACAACAAACAACTGTCCCAGTATGTTCCAACAAAGCCACTGTGTACATTGTTTATCTGAATTACAACAATCTGTATGATTGGGCCATTTTGCTGACACTTCCCATGGGTAGTTTTGACTGGATCACCACAGATCTGAGTTTCTGCAGGAGCACTTGGGTGGTTATGTTGACAACTTAGGTTATTTTGTTGAAGTTGATCTGATCTATCCTGCACTGAAAAACTTCTGGTTGACAATGAGATACTGTCTCTGGAGCAACTGGGCAGAAAGACAAATTTGGTCTGGGATAAGTCCCTAAGGAAATAAAAGCTTGTGAAAAAATCTAATGAACAATACCAAGTATTCCCACTTATGGTGGGTGAATATGATCATAATCAACTGAATGTAGGTGTTATTTATTAAAAGTGTTCCTTTAGTGATAAAGACAAACTAAAGATAAAGAAGGGCAGTAATTACTGATTACTTGTACAATAAATGAGGGCATTATCTAAAAAAACATATAAGTGATTTTCTTCTCAATAAAAATTTGCATGAAAATGTGGCCTAATTTCATTAAATTTGGATAAACATTACACTGGTTGATATGTAAAGGTTGCTATGACTTTGATAAGACAAAAACCTAACTCTTCTATAATATTTTCTTTATAAATTTGACATATTACATATCTTTCTAGAGCATCTGATGATTTATCAGTTTTAATCCCTTGTAGTTGTTGATTAGTGTACATTTTGCCTTGTTTATTTCTTGAACAAAATTCTTCCAAACTTACTAGATAAACAAATGAATATTTGAATACCAATTTTATTTTTAGAATATTCACAAGAAAGGTATTTTGATGGATGCAAAGATGGATGAATTGATGTATGAGCATTATCTAGCAAAAGGGGAGGGTGTATAAGAAAAATTAAAGACAATATAACTTGATTTGAAACTTTCAACACCTTTATTTGGGAGTAGGGTGGCAGCTTATACCTGTTTACATCTAACTCACCTTGAGGCAGATGAGTACTGGATGGTCACACTCATCTGTGATGGTTGTAGGTGGATACTCCTCTGAAAGTTTCTTGATATGGCAACGAGGGCACTCCATTTCTATTGAATCCTAAAAATAAGAATGAAATCAGTTTCATATCTGAGTGATTTCAACACTTGAATGTTTAATTGTAAACATGGTCTCATACCAACTTAAGAGGAACAGATAATCAACAAAAAATCTGAAAGTGTTTTATTGCAAACCATGGTAGATAACCAACTAACATAGACTGGTAGCTAGTCATAACTTCAGCTTAGTTAGTATGGTGTTATCAACATACCACCCAATCTGCTCCCAACATTGGCAGGACATACAAAATGTCACTGCCACCACAAGCTGGTTTCTATCAAAATAATAATCCTTGTTTTTATTTAATATTTTATAAGATTTCCCAAAACAGTTTTGAAAAAAAATATAGAAATTACAGGCCATATACTCATAACACCAGTGATTTTATTGTTGAATTTTTCTATTTGTTTGCCAACATTCTATGCAAAAATGACTGAAATGTCTCAGAACTCTAAAGGCTGACCTCAAGGTCACATAGCATGTGCAGGCAGTACTGTTCTTTACTCATGTCAGTGAAGAGCAGTTTGCATGGTGCGGCCTGCTGAACTAATCCCAGCATCCTTAGCTAAAAGACCCTTAAAAAGAGTATAGAACTTTACAAACATATTGGGATATGTAAAAGGCACTCTGCTTGGATGGTAATTTTACCAGTAATATAATTGGAAATTTTTTGAACCAATGCAATCTGTATATGAAATCACAATGATACATCAGAGACAAGCAGTTGACACCACTTTGATGAAACATGTAACCTCACTTAAATATGTAATGATTCAGACATTTCCTGTCTCATCTAACACTTTAATATGCTCTAGATTTCTTCAATTTGATTTAACATCTAGATGATTTTGTGGTCTGCAATGTCTATCCCATGTAATTTAAATAATTATGTACATTATAAATGTCTTCTTACAATAATGGTGTTTTTAAATGTGTATTAAGGATCAATTATTTGTTTGCAGGGCTCTTGACAATGCAAGTTTAACCTAAGATGGGAAAAGTCTGAAAGTAGGAAAGCACATACATACATACATACATACATACATACATACATACATACATACATACATACATACATACATACATACATACATACATACATACATACATACATACATACATACATACCTATTGCTCAGGAGGGAGGTCCCATCTTGGCAAAAACAAACATTACAATGAACTTTTCATTGTAAGGGGTCTTGTCACTTAACTAGCACAAGGCCTCATTTGTCCTAAATCTGGCACTCTGTGTGTGCTGTGTGTGTGTGTGTGTGTGTGTGTGTGTGTGTGTGTATAAAACCACTCAGGTGGCCTAGTGGTTAGAGCATCTACCTTGGATGTAGGAGGTCGTGGGTTAGATCCCCAGTTGAGTCATACCAAAGACTTACAAAAATGGTACTAACAGCTACCTTGTTTGATGCTCTGCATTAAGAGACTAGTGTTAGGACTGGTTGTCCTGGTGTCGGGACAATGTGACTGGGTAGGACATCATGCTACATGTCTGCAGCATGATGCCCCAATGCTAGACATCACTATATACTGCCACACCACAGACATGACTGAAAAATTGTTAAAGCTATGTTAAAAGTCATAATCACATCACATCACATCACATCGCGCACACACACACACACACACACATATATATGTGAGTGTGCAATGTGATGTGTGTGTGTGTGTATATATATATATATATATATATATATATATATATATATATATATATATATATATATATATATATCCTTCTCTTTCTTTTTATCTAGAGTCTAAATATTTACATTACAAATCACTTTTCAAACATTATGGAAAGCTGGTAACAAGCACTAGTGTTCATATATAAATTCAGGTCTGTAACAATTAATATTGATGATACCTTTATTTAATTATATTAATGTTCATTGACCATTAAATCTTGCAATATGTCATTAAATGATAACTTTGTTTGGTCATACATGACACTGTCTGCTAAAGTGGACATCAAAGACACAATTGCGACAGGTGTAAATGTGGCAATAATAAAAGCACACTATACCAATTTTAGCTGGTTGTACAATTGAAATGTTTCAACCATTATTCCTAAAATAGAAATCAGTTAACTATTTTTGATGAAAATTGTGAAAAATGAAAACTTAAATGGAGTCTCTTAAATGAAGACAGAAATAAAATGATAAATATATTAATTTCCATAGCTATTTTATTATTTGCTAACATAGATTAGTATATACTGTTCACAAGTGCCAACATATATATTTTGTTTTGTTATACACATATACATATTGTATTCCCCAGATCACACGTGAGTATACAGAGCAAAAGGATTGGACAGATGTTCCTCAAATTATAAGTTTTACTCCATTATAAAAATAATTAAAGTCAAGACAGTTGACATACGTAGAATCAAACGAGGATGAAAGAAGGATAAAATCAGAGGGATAGTGATTCATGTGGTCTGGAATGTAAAATTTCAAATTACAATTGTGATGGTACAAAAGTAAACATATGTTTCTGAGTCTTTTTTTTTTGTTAATAATAAATTTCTGCATATAAATCTTATAAAACTAGTTACATTAATTCACTCCATTCCTGTAATTCCTCTTAGGTCTCAATTAGTTTCATATTATGAAACCTACCTAATTTTTAAGGTAGAAGGCATGAACCTAATTATGATAAGCCTAGCATGTATGAATTCACACAGAAACTAAATCTGTAATATGGTATTAATTTACTTTTATATAAAATTGAGAATGGGTTAGCTTATCTGGTGACTGCCTGTCACAGTTAGACTAGCATTGTAGATCAAATGTGTAATTTGGGCTGAAAATGAATAGCTGACTTGGCTTACCTATTTACACATGTCTGCTAGAGGTAAATATCTAAAAATCAAGATGGTTGAGGGGTGATAAAAAAGTATCCTAATTTTTTATAGTACTAGTGAACTTTATTCATGCATAGGGCACATACTGATTCTTTTAGCTGCCTTGTCACAGGAAAATATTTAAAATAGCTCTTTGCTGTCAAAAATGAATGTAAAAAAGAGAGGTTGGTGGCAGTGTTGAATCAATAGAAAAACCACCAGTTGTATAAGGAATTAACCTGGTTGCTGTAGTCAAAATATCACATGCATGTTTTCTATAAAAATCATTAGTTTTTTTTATAGTATCTTCAGTGGAAAATTATTCTCATTTTTCTGCAATAGGTCATTGTCGGATGAAAATTCATTAGATAAACTGTCCAGTGAGACTTTTCATTAAGGTATTTTTGTCTCCATTGCTGTCTATTACTGCCAATTACTGTCCTTTATCGTACATTACTGTCTTTAACGAGACCGTATATATCAGGGGGTCTCAAACTCAAACCTCCCTGAGGGCTGCATTTTCGATGGCCCAAGGGACAATTAATTGGTGATTGTACACATTAGTTTATCCCGGAATCAAGTGCCTGTGGCCAGAGGATGTGGCTTGGCGAGCCGCGTGTTTGAGATCCCTAGTATACTTAGTACCTGTTCTTCTCTCAGCAGTTGTAGCGTTGACAACAGACTCCTGTTCGTGATCTTAACAATCTGAAGATTTTTTTTTAATGTCGTATTTTAAAGAGTTGATTTTGCTGCTTTAAGATCTCTCAACCAACAAAATGAGTTTTAATATTTTCCCAAAAAATATTAAGGATAGAAAAAAAATTCAATTACTGAGCAAATTCAAGAGTAAAAAAAAATATTTTCACAACTAGAGTTTCCTCTGATCATTCCCACCCCATTTTAGATAATTTGACATTTATAAGTTACGAATACTTACTCAAACGATAAACTGGGTCTTGATATTTCCTAAAAATGCTAGTGTCAATACACACTATTCACATAAAGCTCGACCGACGACCAATGAGTGAAACCGAAAGTAGAAAGCTTGATCCTAATCCACCGGCTGTAACCGGACTTCATTTGCCGAAAATGAAATGGCATAGATTCTAAACGGAACGTATTATAATAGGGGTAGCTAGATACATGTATCCAACATTGTGTTTTACAATATTGATTTAACTGGTATGTATAAGGCAAAGATGCCAAACATATATTTTAACAAGCAAATTAGACTAAGTGTAAAAGTGAACTGTGTTATATAGTTATAAGTTGACTAACGTCAACCATTAGTTATAACCTTTCATCCCTACGTTGAAAATGAAACTGGCCTTCGTGATAAGTTGCATGACCTTAATTTTCGGCTGAAAATTGACTTTCATGATCCGCTTTGAAACGCAAGGACGGAGAAACATTTGAAAGAAGACACGTTCTTTAAAAATGGGGGTAATTTGTAAGTAATTGTCAATTCAAATATGTTTATGCATTATAAATCTGGGCAGCGAGGAATTTCTCGATGTTTCCGATATTGCAACCATACCCCCATCAGTGGCGTCACGCGGGAGGGGTAGGGGGGTGGGGGTGGGGTGCGGACCGCACCCGGTGACACCATCAGAGGGGGTGACACCAGAATGATTGCCTATAGAAATTTTGAATTTTTATGCAGGAAGGGGGTTAATGGGGGTGACACCATGAATTACCACACATGGTTGTTTATAAACTTTTTGAATTTTTGTGCAGGAAGGAGGTCCATGTGGGTGTGGGGTGCGACATCACGAGTCGCCGCACTGGGTGACACCAACCCTAGTGACGCCACCGCCGCTCTGACACTCCCCTCCACTCATGTTTGCTTCCCATTGCACAGGTTAGGCCTAAAGCACCCTCTCCCCTCAAGTGTTTTCTGTTAGAGTAGGAAGGTATACCCACTGTCGGCCGATTATGCCTGTCGGATAATGCGCAGTGATACAACATTCCTGTAAACATTAGATCACGTGTTGTTTTTGGTCGAATATCCAATTTGTCTCAAGAAATAACGATCGACCTTTTATTAAAGAAGTGATATTCATAATGGGTGAAAAAATATCCCTTATTTCTGCCCAAATTGCATATGAAAATGCGATTTCTAAATGGCAGCATGAAGACCCACTCCATGACCTTCGTGAACTTCTAACCCAGAAAATCCTATTAATTATGTAGCTTTTAAAATCATCAAATAAATACATTATATAAAAGATGGAAATGTATACCTTAAAACAATACTGCATTTTAATTAAAGTTTCCAATTTTTGCAAGCTGTCCCACACGTACAATCTGCTATCCAAAATGCTATCCAAAACGTGAACTTGCCACTAGAACTGGATTCTGAAGAAATTCACAGGTGAATAACCTGTTTTCTGTTTTTAATTTCTTTAGTAATCCCCCCCCTAAACAAGACATTGTAAACACAATTTACAGCCTTATTACAACCTTACAAAAGCTTTTTTTTTTAAATAAAATGTTGAACTTTACTAATTATTTTTTACATGATCATTTAATTTGTTTAATGTCTCTTGTCATTTATTAGCATTGTTATATTGAATTTTGTAAAACCAGCTATAAATGTGACTTAATTACTTAACCAGATGCTGACAGAAAGAGCCCAAAGTAATGTATTTCATTTCCATAGCCTGTTGCATAAAAATTACATCTTTTCAAAGCGCTGCACAGAATATACCAACATTTTGTGAGCCATGAAAACATGGGGGTGATATCCAGTGTGTCCAAAAATTAATATTATTTTGAACAGAATATTCTGGTGGAGATTGCCTCTTTTCAAATGGTAAGCATTGCACTATTTTTTTTTGTTTTTGTCAATTGGTCTAATTTGGTATGCATTTTGCTTCAGTATTGGTGATGGAAACCTTAGGTGTGCAAAAAGACCTGACAGCATTGTAGACACCGCTGTTGGGCTTTTCTGTATACACCCTTGTTGGGCTTTTCTGTACACGTAAGGTTTCTATCACCAATAATAAAGCAAACACATACCAAATTTGACATATTGACAAAAATAATATACTACAATGCTTACCATTTGAAAAGAGGCAATTGTCACCAGAATATTCTGTTCAAAATAATATAAAATTTGAACACATGGGATACCACCTGTTTTCATATGTCTACCTTTTCTGCGCATTGTATCAGAAATGATGTATAATTGTGCAGAATTATAGTATAAATCACATGGGTTATGTAGACATTCAACAGCGACTATTACAGTAATGGGTGTCATTTTTTAGAATTAATTGGAAGGTAATTATTTATAAATCCTCTGAGATGTGCTTACAGCAAAATCAATTGTAAAGTAGATAGACATTTTTGGATGAAATGAACTTGAAGGTATGATCCAGTACAATCCGGATTGAATGTTGCATGCTGTGATGTCACAATGAAAGCTACTCATATTGACAAATAAATTTGTACTACCTTCAATTGTGACGATTACAATCAACATATTCTTTTTTTTTACCCAAGTTTAGTACAT